ATTAGAAGCCTTTGGATAGTTTTAAGCAGGAGGATAACATCATCTGATGTATATTTAAAGATATCACACAGGTTGCTATGTAGAATATATGTTTAAAAGGGAAGACCAGTTTAGAGGCTATTGTAATTGTCCTGGTCAGGGATGATAACAGGTCTTTGATTGTTAGAATAAGAGGCATGGTGAAAATTAGAAGGATTTAGGATTTCTTTTACAGATAAGATCAGGTGGACTTGATATTAGGTTGAAAGTAAAGCAAAGTTCACAGAAAGTGGAATCAAGCATGATGCCTTTTAGGGGAGGCTATGTAATTAAGTGGTGTCCTGTTGTGTTGCTGTGGGTCAATGCGCCGGACTGAAAAGTCTCTTGAATAGCAAGATCGACAGTTCAAGCACACCAGCTCTGGGTCGGAACCTACTTGATGGCACTTAACAACAACATGAAATTAATTATATTCTTAACTAGAATAGAGGAAGATTGAAGAGGAAAAATTGGGCTTATGGGAGGTAGGGGGTCGGGGAGAAAGTGGAAAGTTAAGAAGTCTGCTTTGGATGCATTGTGCTTTCAATACCTATTGAGTTTGTATACAGAGATGTCAGGTAAGTGATGGAGAATGAGTGAACCCATAATGTTGTTGTAAAGTACTGTAGAGTCGGTTCCGACTCATATGACCCTGTACAGGGTTTTCAAGGCTGTAAATCTTTATGGGAGCAGAACGCCTTATCATTCTCCAGTGGAACCGAGGGTAATTTCGAACTGCTGACCTTGCAGTTGGCAGCCCAACTCATAACCACTATGCTATCAGAGCTCCATGAACCAATAATATTGAGTATGAATTTTTTATTTTAAAAATAAATTCTTGTCATCATAAATTGTAATTGGAAAACTGCAAATGATAAGTAATTAATTTTTATATCCTACACAAGGATCTCGTAAAAGCATGTTAATTATATTTGTCAAAGTGGAGAGTTTTATCAAGTTAGATTTGAGTTCATCAAATGTCTCTCTGTTCACATTTCGAAGAGACCTGTGGTGTAGTGATTAAAGCACTCACTGAAAGGTCAAAGGCCTCAGCTGTGCTGAGGAAGAAAGGTTTGGCAATTTGCTTCCATGAAGATTACAGCCTTGAAAACCCAATGAGGAATTGTACTCTGTCCTATGGGTTTGCTATAAGTTGTATTTGATTTGACCACACTGTGTTTGTCCACATTCTACTATCTTTCTATGTACCACATTTCCTTCAACCTGTGACTGAATTACCAGTTTCTTTAATGAGGACTAGGTTATCTATGGAAAATGGGCAGTTTTTATTTATAGGTGATTGTTCAATGTTTACTTTATGTTTTGGGCCTGACTTAATTTAATAGGTTGTTCTTAAATGCTGTTGAGTGGATTTCAATTTATAGCAACTCTGTTTAGGGTTTCCAAAGAGTGGCTGGTGAGTTTGAACCAGTGACTTTTTGGTTCAAACCAATCTTGTGGTCCAGTGCTTTATCCCAGAGCACCACACCTGTAATGTAATATACTTTTAGCGAAATGCACATTAGTCATTCTTTTCAGCCTGTATAGCCTTGCAGCTTCCTGCCATTCTCCAGTTGTTTTCGCTCATCTGCTTTCATCTTCTGGATGATAATTGGGGGAGAGGGCAAAAAACAAAAAACTACCTTCTTTCCTTTTGGTGGACCAATAACTTTTTGAGTGTTATTTTTGTTGAATTTGGCAGAAATCTAGATACCAGGACACTGCCCTTTTATATCACTGAACAACTCAGGGATGTCATGGTGTAACATACAGCTTCAAGTGTTTTTGCAACATTCATTTATTCTTCTTTTTTACAGAGTTTTAAAATTTCTATTTTGCCTGCCTTAAGAGTTCAGCTTTTACAATGACATATTCTCTAAAGAACTGTGGTAATCATAAATTAGTGGGGCAGAAAAAACTTGAAATATCCAAAATCCTCTAGTTGTGCCTCTTATTCTACCCTTGACATATACAGAAATCTTTATAATTTTGTTTTAATATGCTATTTTTGATGCCATTATACATTAGTGTGATTTTCCAATCAAGGTTTTTCACTTTGAAGCGTCCCAGGTAGGATCTGGCATATGAATCATACGTCTAAAATGGAAACTCATGAAAGTGTGTGTGCATGCTAGGGGGCTCATTTGTCTTTGGCAAAGATATTGCTGCTCCTGTTTTCTTAATTATTAAACAGATGGTGCCTACTGCCACTGACTAGCTGCCCAACTGGTTCTCCATGCAGTAGCACAGTTCTGGACATCTGACAGAGAAAAGCTGTACTATCCCAGCCCCTCAAATCCATTTATGTCATAACATTAATATTAATACCTGCCTCTAGAGCAGGCTGCTTCCCATGATGCTAACTCTAAATGTAAGAGTTCAGCCCTCTATTCTTCCTTTCTATACACTGCACCCTCCCACCCCCACCTCCCCACTACTCAGAATTAATTTAATCTCAAATATCTCTTTTCAGAAGGAGCATTGGTGGCACAGTGGCTAAGTGCTCAGCTGCTAAGAGTCAGCTGTTCATGCCCACAAGACCCTATTAGGGACAAAGATGTGGCAATCTGCTTCTGTAAAGATTTACAGCTTTGGAAGCCACCTGGGAAGTTCTCTGTCCTATATAAGTGCCACTATGAGCTAGAATCAACCTGGTATTGGTGGGCTATTTCCTTTTGGTTTTTCTTTATATTAGTTCATATTTACACACAAAATACAGTGGCACACTGAACCATTATCCAAGTGCTTTAGGCTATAAACACACTGTAACCAGAAATATCATGGCAATTAAGACAAAATTAGATAGTTATTATTAGTCAGAACAAATAAATGATATCTAAGATAACTATTTTTAAAGTGCACAAGAGTAGATGATCACGTTTATACATGTTGTATGTATAAAATAGAAATCCACTCCCAGGGAATATTAACAGATATATTTTTTAAAGATTTTTAAAACATAAGTATAGAATTATTTTTCAAGTCTTCCAAAAAAGTTAGTTTTAAAAACTTCCCATTGATAAAGCATATGGACAGTATCCCCCTATATTTACTATAACTAGGGTCCTTATTAAAACTTCATTGTAGTGGTAGTTGGTGTTTATGTGCCATGGAGTGGGTTCGGACTCATAGCGACCCTGTACAGGGTTTTGGAGACTGTAAATCTTTACGGGAGCAGAAACAGCTGGTAGTTTCAAACTGATGATGATGACCAGCTGGTAGTGTTGAACTCCCGCGGAACAGCTGGTAGTTTCGAACTGATGACCTTGAGGTTCGCAGCCCAATTCGTAACCACTACGATACCAGAGCTCCTTTAGACAGTAATTCACAGCCACATACCGATTTATAATATCTTTGCTATTGTTAACACACCTATCTTCACCTGCCCCTGAAGATGGTCCTTTGTAGTCTACTTTCTGATATGACTCTTAACTTTGTAAATCTTAAATCTAGGGTCATTTAATCACAATGTAAGTTCAACAACTGTCCACTAAAACCCATCAGTCAGACTTTTAAAAAGTTACACATTTCTTTCTTTTTTAAAGGATGACACCCTCCCCCTTCTCCTTACTAATGCTCTTGTGATCTAGGTACTGATTGAGATTTGGGAGAAAAGGCTGAGGTTCTCTTTTGAAAACAGACCTACCAGCAAGAGCAACCAAAGCATTATAATGCCCCTGAAATTGGTTTGCTGTTGTAACTGACTTTGAGAACCTATGAGCATCTTTGACTTAATCAGACAGGAGATGTGGCTGTCATTCTAATGATAGTATGACGGTGTTAGCTCCCAACCCCGCCCAAGTGGCCAATTCTCCCTTCTCTTTCTCTGTTCCAAATCATAGGAAGCTCAGTCTGAGAGCTAACCGCAGACCCCCGCGTTCCTGGGCTTTGGTTAGCTAGACATGATGGACTAGCCACAACCGATCCTTCTCTAGTGTGCTTGGTGTGCCGGCCCAGCTCCGGGAAAAGGAGCAGTTGAGCTAAGAGCAGCGCCTCCTCCGGGGGAGGGGAGCTTTTTCGACTGTGAACGCTTTCCTAGGGAGTTGCCTTAAAGAAAGAAAGAAAGCGGAATTGTAGAGCACTTCACTCTTTTGCCCTTTCATATAGTTTTAAGCAGTCGTCTCCACTCGCATTTCGTCTGCAAAACTACAAATCACTACCAACCTAGCACCAAAGGGGAGAGAGGAACAACAACAACAAAAAAATCAAATCCCACTCGTTCTCACCCTCCCTTTCCCCTCACCCTCCCTTCTCTAGCTCTCTCCGTCTCTCTCCCCCTCCTACCTCCCGCGGCAGCCGCTTGGGTCTCGGACTGTGCTGTCTCGGATGGGACTGGCAACTTCTAGATTATTTCTCATCCCCTTTTCCATTTTTTTCCCACCCTTGCCATGAACTGGATGTACAAACTCGGGGGAGGCTTTGCGTTCAGCCCCAGGGAATGGCGGTACGCGTCCTGGGTCCTCGCCGGGGAGGATCCACAAAGGAGAAAGAAAGAGTGATAGAGAAAGAGCTGCAGGAAGGAAAAGAAGGGGAACTCCATCCGCACCGGGCCCGGCGCGTAGCAGTGCCGCGCCAAGTGGCGCCCAGAATGGCCCGGAGCTCGAACTGTGCCCCCGACTCTTCCTGCGCTTGCTGCTCCAGCGCGCGGGAAGCAACGGGCAATTTTTAATGTCCTGAAGTAGAAAGAGACACCCGAGGGTATAAATTAGGGGTGGGGTGGAGCAGAGAATTTTTAAAAGCTTTTAAAACCGAGAAAAGGGGAAAGTCTGATCGTTTCAGCCAGTGCTAGTTTTGAACTTGAAGAAGTCTTTTAGAGCATCTAGTATTCACCAGGAGTTATTCGAAAGCTAAAACTTCCAGTGATTAGTGGGCCTGGAGAGGAGAAGGAGGGATTCGGAGGGTGGGATTGGGAAGAGTGTGTGTGTGTGTTGGGGTGGGGGCGTCGTGGGGGCGGCCTTGGGAGTCGGTGAAGAAGGCACACCATGGCAGTGCCTCAAGAGGCTGTCCGAATCTGGGACAAGCTCGGCCGCGGTGGGGTGAGTCAAGACCCCGCGGCGGGCCCAGACTGCCACCGTGATGCTGGCCTGCCGTCTCCGCGGGACTCGGACTGCGGCGGCTGCTGGGGAGATCTAGTGCTGCAGCCGCTCCGGCGCTCCCGGAAACTTTCCTCGGCTCTGTGCGCGGGCTCTCTGTCCTTTCTGTTGGCGCTGTTGGTGAGGCTGGTTCGCGGGGAGATCGGCTGTGACCTGGAACAGAGCATTGAGGTGGCGGCGGCTGAGGAAGCGGCCTCGGGAGCAGAAGGGGGCGTCTTCCCAGGGCCTCAGGGTGGTGCTCCCGGGGGCGGCGCGCCACTCAGCCCCTGGCTGCAGCCCTCGGCGTTGCTCTTCAGTCTCCTGTGTGCCTTCTTCTGGATGGGCTTGTACCTCCTGCGCGCCGGGGTGCGCCTGCCTCTGGCCGTCGCGCTGCTAGCCGCCTGCTGCGGGGGGGAAGCGCTTGTCCAGATTGGGCTGGGCGTCCGGGAGGATCATTTACTTTCGCTCCCCGCCGCGGGGGTGGTGCTCAGCTGTTTGGCCGCCGCGACATGGCTGGTGCTGAAGCTGAGGCTGGGCGTCCTCATGATCGTCTTGACTAGTGTGGTCAGGACCGTGTCTCTCATTTCCTTAGAGAGGTTCAAGGTCGCCTGGAGACCTTACCTGGCGTACTTGGCTGGCGTGCTGGGGATTCTCCTGGCTAGGTGCGTGGAGCAAATCTTGCCGCAGTCGACGGGGGCGGCCCCGAGAGAGCATTTTGGGTCCCAGCTAATTGCTGGGACCAAGGAAGATATTCCGGTGTTTAAGAGAAGGAGGCGGTCCAGCTCCGTGGTGTCCACCGAGATGTCGGGCTGCAGCAGCAAGTCCCATCGGAGGACCTCCCTACCCTGCATACCGAGGGAACAGGTAAGCACTAGCAGTTCTTCTCTTGCCTTTCTGGAAAACTTGAAACACTTGGGAACCCGCTCAGAGTGGAGGGATTCCGAACGCTGGGAATTAAAAGGAAGGGAGCCTAGAAAAATGGTGAAACTTTAGACTTTGGAAAGTAGAGGAATTTTCTTCCCTTCTCACACAGTATTTTACAACCTGAACAACAGAAACAAGAATAAGTATAAAAATAGCATTTTCAGGGTCGCTCACAGCTGGGCCAACTTTTTAGATTTGCTACACCTGGCATATGATTTCTCTACACTTTAAGAACGCTCACATTTCTCTCTTTTAGCAGAAATTTTAGAATCTAGTTTTTAGCAGTAGGTGATTTTTCAACTCGTGGATTTCACTAGATTTATTTGTTTTTTTTGAAAAGTCATTTCTCATAAAGTGACAGGTAAATGATTATGAAAATCAGATCAATAATTTTAGAGCAAAACAAGATATCCTAGAAGGTAAGGTATTAATATACACTTTCGAATTTAGCAGCAAGTCTCATTTGGGAGCATATGCTATTACATGCTAGTGTGCTTTGCATCATAATCCTAAATATTAATTTGGAGAACTAATTAATATTTCTAAACTTGGTTAAAACCATGTGAGTTATACGACTAGTGTCAACTGAAAAAATAACATGTGTCTTAGTAGGTACATTCAAAAGTAGATATGTGGAAATTCAAATGGGTTTACATAGGTCATTATGGAGAATATTTTTAAGATTGCTGGATATATTCTTTCTGAAAAATGGAGGAGGAACCTGGAATTAAGTTGTTGTAAATAAACATTTAGTAAAAAATCCTTTGTTATTATTGTGTTTTCAGATGATGAAATGTAGTTGTTATACTCCAAACCAACCCAATTCTGGTGACTTCAAATTGATTCAGACTCAGAAACCCTATAGGACAGAATAGCTCTGCCCCATGGGGTTCCAAGGCTGTAAATCTTTATGGAAGCAGATTGCCACATCGTTCTACTGCATTGTTGCATAGGGTATAATTGAACAAATCCCAATTTTAAGTATAAATTGCAACTAACTTTAAGTATTCACCTCTGTACAACCTGAAGCTAGCTTGACTTTTAATGAGTGAGGGTGGGCAGAGAGCTGGTTATGCAAAGCAAGTGGAAATTTACACTTTTCCCTTTAAGTTTACTGCTTCTCTATGTTAAGATTTTGACAACTTTAGAGAATGAAAGAACGTTGTAAATATAGTAAGGGTTTCCCTCCTCCTACCCCCATTTTATTCTGTAGCTAGTCATTGAGGTACTTCTAAGAAATCACAGTCACCATATGGTGTGGGTGCCTACTTTGTTTTCTGAAATGGAGTTGATTACACAGATCTGTCGTGGTTTGACAGAAAGGATGACAGCATCACAGTCTGTTTATTTTAAAACAAATGCACTTATTTAGCTTTTTGTTTGGATAAAGCAAATATTTCTTGAGTTTAAGCTTACTCCCAAGCATGCAGGATAAAACAGGCCATTGACCGATACTTGCTTTTGGTAGAAATTTGGAAATCATCATCATAAAATGTCAACTCTAGAGCAAAGCATGCAAGGAAAAAATACATTTTAATTTCATTTCCTAGATACATGAATGTCTTTTAAATGAAACACCAGAGTGTACATGTTTAGAAAACATTATTCTTTAATTTATAGAGAAATGTGACTATTACAGAACTGAACCATAATTTCTAAGGGAAAATACCATTTCTGTGATTTAATAAAAATAATTTGACTCCAAATTAATTGCATTTAGGCACTGAAATTACATTTTTGAAATTTTCTATTGCTTTTAGGAATTTAAGTGTTGAGATTTAACACAGGGTTCTTAGGTTAGTTAACCAGCATTGTTAATTAGCTCACAGATTTTTATTGATTTTTTCTGGTTTGACTTGATAAATGGAGAATTTGAATAATCTGTGAACTTTCATCAGAAAATGAGCATTCCATATTTATTTAATGCTTTGCTTGTGGTTGCTGTTAAATTCATAATTGTAATTAATGTATTTTGGTATGTGTGTGTCATTCATGTATGGTTAGTTTTTAAGTATGAATCATTAAAGTTATTGTTGGGTATGATTGTTGCGGGGGGAGTGGTTTGGGAACTAGCAAATAGTATCTTACAAGATAGGATAACATCTCATACGTATACGTTGGCTTAACTGTGTGAAAAGTTCAGGAGTGATATAATAAATAGCTTATCTGTTTTATCATATAAGGAAACACATTTGTTTAAGGGTGCAAAGTGTACCACTATCATCTGCATACTTTATGAAGTCAATAATCAAAATAATTATAAAACACTCCCCTGAGTGCTAACGGCCTATAAGTACTTTTCTGAAGAAAAGAAAAAAAAAAAAAAAAGTCTACTCTCAAGATAATATTCATAGGCAACAAGTGAATTTTGAATAATAGTTTAAGAATAAAAAAGCACAGTGAGTCTGGCAAAAGCCTGTTGAGTTCAATTTGTTTGAACTTTTCTTATCACGATGGTGGTTAGGTAGTTATGTGCTGTGGAATTGGTTCCAACTCTAGTGACCCTGTATAGGGTTTCTGAGGCTGTAAATCTTCATGGGAGCAGAAAGCCTCATTTTTCTCTCATGGCACCGTGGATAGTTTTGAACTGCTGTCCGTGAGATTTGCAGCTTGACTCGTAACCACTATGCTACCAGAGCTCCTTATAAGGTGGGAGAATTTCGGTATTTTCTTCTGCATGTGAGTGACAGTGGTCATTTGCTTGTAAATTATCTTCAGTGGTTTGCAATTCTAAAAGAACAAGGAGAATGTTTGATAATGCTCACAAGATAAACCAACAGAGACTTACTTTTCTCTTCCCTTCTTTTCTTCCTTGTAGAATCATAATAAGTCTACAGATTGGATGTTGCATATTAGATTATATTTTTTATTGCAAATTGTAAAGCTGATTTCAAAGAAAGAAAGAAATATGTCTAGTGTTCTATTACAGAACTAATCAGACACTGGGTGTGTCTTGTGAATTCAAGTGCAAGTGTAGGTATCTTTACTCAATAAAGAACAAAGTTCATAGCATCTGAGTGGCTTTTAGTTCATTCCTGACAACCTAGTGTCCTCCAACTGTGGATAACTTTGAGAAAAGGCGCATCACTGCTGTTTTTTGTTGGCAGTAGTGTCAAGAAGGCAAGTATTTCCATTAAGGTATATGTGTCTTTTCTTAGTGAACATTCACATAATAGAGGAATTAAGTCTTCTTCAAGTTACCACTGTAGCGGCAACCACTGGAATATACCCACAGAGGTATCTAGAACTTCTTAAATTACTAGATATTGTGTATAACATAGATGCTGTTTTCAAACAGAACATTTTTACTGGAGATTTTTTAATATTTTGAAGTTGTATTTGAAGGCATGCTTTTCTGTTTTCTGTACACGTCAAAGAACACTACTGATTACTAATCTCCCTCTTAATTATTGCGTCCAACTTCTGTACTCATTTTTGAATGATTATAAACCAGTGCAATTTTGCTTTAGTTACATGTTTTAATCCAATGGTTGCATGTAAAAATAATTACAAGGCATAGTCCTCTCTTCATTATGCATTTTTAGCACTTAATGACAGTTTTTCTACAAGTCAGTATCAGTCAAAGATGTACAGATATTATATTTCATATTATATATTTAAAAAATTAATATGTCGCATGACTATTTCCCTAAGCTTCCAATTAAACATCTTTACCAAAAATCAAGGTATTTTTAAAATAGGAATTTAGTGTAATCTTGAGGCTAGTTATCATAATTAGAATCAAGTTTTATCACTGAAGTCAAAAAGACATGTCCGAGCAAAACAAACAATCTAAACAACAACAATGACAACAAAACAAAAATAGAAATGGGTGCAATCTTTTATGTTAGGCAATGGCTATAATTATGTGTTTGATAAAAATCATAACTTGCTTGCTAATGTAGTAGTACACATATATAATGCAGAAATATGGAATATATTGTTATTTAAACTCCTTAGTACATCTCAGCATAGCATATTTCTCAAATGAATACATTTCAGAAGGAAGCATTGATTTTTAAAATTAAATTGTACTTCTGTGACATTTCAGCAATATTGATTATTGACGATATGGTGACAGAATTAAACTTAATTAATGTCAACTCAAGAAACTTCTAAAAAAAATTTTTTTTTTTCAGTCCCTTAAAGTTTTTTGTGGGGGGCAGTCTGGGCACAAAATTGGGAGTTTACTTTGTAAATACAGATATTTAAAGCATACTGTAAAACTTTTTAACTGACAGAAATAGTCAGTGAATCTATATAAATTTACAGAGGTTGAAGGAGTCAAAACAGTAATCTTATTCTTTCTGTATTGAGACTAAAGTGTAAAAAGTTAAAACTGTAGAACTGAAAGAAATGCTGTGTATGGTAAGCTGCCATGTTAATTAAATAAGCAACCAGAACAGTGACTCTGTGTATGAAATACATTTTGAAAAGCCTTGGCGGGGTGGGGGGGTGGGGGTGGGGGTGCAGGCAGCCAAGGGTGAGTGACACTGGCATGAAAAAACATTCATTATGTCTGTAGTGACATTTGTATGAATTTGTTGTATTAGGAAGTACAACTCTGCAAATACTCTCTTCAATACTATATTTGGCTACAGCCAAATAAAAGGTTTACTAAACTTAATTTTACTTATAAATTAAATAATTAAGTTTTCATTTATATTGTTGGGATAGGGTGTTTATAAACCTTAAAATTAAAATATGCCTATATGTAATTCATTAAGTTGTTGTTACTAAGTGTCATCAAGTCAGTTCTGACTCATAGAGACTCTGTACAGTGTTTCCCAGGATTGTCTGGTGGATTTGAGCTGCCAACCTCAAGGTTATCAGTCCAGTGCTTATCTTACAGCGCCAAACCAGGACTCCAAGTTATTATAAGTTCCAATGAGCTAGCATAGTTTGGTGGTGCTGTGGGATAAAGCACTAGAATGCAATGT